ATGCTGAAAATTAATTAATTATGCAAATTAGGTAATTAATATGTTACTGATATTACCATAAAAACTATCAGGTCTGTGCAGTGTCGTATGACATCTATGTACCAAGTTTCATTGAAATGTGATGATTAGTACTTGAGATATCAGTGGAAAAACCGAAAATTGACTAATCATTATGCAAATTAGGTAATTAGTGTCCACGGATTATTACCAAAAACTAATCAAAACCTAGCATTAGTTCAGAGCATCTATGTACCAAGTTTCATCAAAATCCAATGAGTGGTTGTTTAGATATCAGTGGAACAGTCATGGAACCACTAAAAAATAGCTAATTATCATGCAAATTAGGTAATTAATATGCACGGATTTTTACCAAAAATTAATCAAATCTGCGCATATGTTCAGAGCATCTATGTACCAAGTTTCATCAAAATCCAATGAGTGGTTCTTTAGATATCAGTGGAACAGTCATAGAACAGCTAAAAATTAGCTAATTATCATGCAAATTAGGTAATTAACGAGCATGGATTTTTACCAAAACCTAATCAAATCTGCGCATTGGCCCAGAGCATCTATGCACCAAGTTTCATCAAAAACCGATGTATGGTTCTTGAGATAGCAGTGGAACAGTCGGACACACACACACACATACAGACACACTAACTGCAAAGACTCCCATTTTGTGCTTCGCACATGGGAGTCAAAAAGTGGGACAGAAATGGGCAAGATGTTTCCTGCTTAGTTAGAGATACTATACAAACTATGTGGCGCGAATTTAAAACACCGCTAAGCCGTCCGAAATTAGGAATGCGCGAATTTTTAACACCGCAAAAATTAACCTCTTTACAGTATGTTAATAAACTTGAACATCAGAAATTTTTAGTGATTTTTCAATAACTTCTCAATTTTGGACTAAGTGGACATAAAATCTCACTGACCACAGGTGTTAGTTTGAAAAAACGTATAGTGACAAATGGTGGTGTTCAAAATGAAGTTTCAATTGGAACACTTAATGTCAATTATTAATTAAATTATTATATAAACCTACGGCTATAATGGACATGGTCACTTTCTTCCTCTTCAAGTTGTCCTTTCTTCATCTCAATTAGACCATAATCAGTAATCTGCAACACCCATCGATTGTCGACAACACAGTTAGATGATTTCAGGTTGCCATGTGATCGCATTTCACTGCTGTGTAGGTATATCATTCCTTTCAATAGATCGTTGATGATAGATGCTAGGAACATGTGGTCCAGTTTTATATCATCATTTTCTAAGATATCCTATATGTTAGAAACAAGTCAAATCCTGAAATAATTTTTGCAATTAAAAAGGGCAATCAACTGATGCACAATGCTGGCAGTGGGTACTGTTCAGGTTCTGTCACAAGATCCCATATTACGTGTGAAATCAAACAAAACAAAGAACATATCACTGTAATATATGGCGTCAAAATGAGGGATTCCACAAGCAAAGTATTTTTAGTGTATTTTCACGCTTAATAATGTGTTATATGCAATTGATGACGATCAATTTTGAGGAAGTAAGAGTATCTTAACACCATATATTCTGAAAGATGGGCAATTCAACATTGAGCTATAAAAAAGGAATTTAAAGTTTAAAATCTTCAGTCCATGCTTTTCACACAAAATTCAAGATCTTGCGGTAAATGGAAAATCTCTGTTTATATAGATAAGCAGCAGCCATTAGCTGATATGGCTATTTGTGATACTGTGAAGGTGAACCAAATAAAACAAGTCGGATACTACATATATCTTGTGCTTATTGGAAAAATGAATGTACCAGTTTGGCTACAACTAAGCAAAAAATACAAAATTTAGTCAAGAAATGTAAAGATAGTGAGACCACACAAAGTGCTTTATATTATACGTCAAATATCAAAGCAAATAGTTAGGTTAGACTTTTTCAAGTCAGGATTGGAAAATTAAATTAAACATGAGTCAATGAATAAATCTGAAAGAGGAGCATTAAATTACCTGTCACGTAAATATCAAAGAAAACATAGAAGTAGAGAATGTAAAGTTGCTAACAAGACGACAGATTCCGTAATTATAGTTATGAATAGTCATGATTCATTGACAATGGCACTAAAGACATACAATAATTACCTGTAAACTTCCCTTTGGACAATATTCCATTAGTACGCATATATGGGGATGATCCACACATGCTCCAATAAACTTATTAACATTGTCATGTCTCATATCTCGCATCTAGCAGAAATCAATAAATACTATGAATATTATTGTTTGTTGGGGTTACATTTAAAATGCAAAATTCCTGTAAAGCCAAAAATGTATACCACATGATTATATATTGTATAATGTATACAGTGCATGTAAAATGCGTAAGTGGGTTTGCATATATTTTGTATGGGACCCGTGAATCATTTTATAATCTGAATAATTTAATTCATCTGTATACGCCGTCACTCTGGGATGGCATTGTCTGCATTTTGCATGCAAATGTCTGATAAAAAATGTCTCTCACTGATCAGCAGTTATAACTCAGTCTGCTGTGGCAATCTTGCCTATAAGTTGTTTGATTATTCAACAAGTCATTGAAAATGACACAGTCCTCGTAAAATTTTTGAAAGTTCTCTTTGTGCTCGTCATATTAAAGCGGAGGGGTTGTTGCGAGCGTGTCCTTGAAACTTGAGTTCCAAGTGGCGTATACAACAGATTGTTTATTTACATCAAAACACGTGTTTCGTGTCATAGTAATATGGCCAAAATAAAAACAGCCGTTATTCGGCCATCTTTGATCTGTTTATGAAACACACTGATATGTATGATGTATGTGCCAAATACGAATGAAAATGGTACATAAATTGTGGAAATATAGTAGTAAGGCCAAAAAGTCAGATGGCTGTCAATCGGCCATCCTTGACCAGATTTTGAAACAAATTGTCATGGACATGCATCCTAACATGTATAAAGTACAAGATACCGCATAAAAAAAACAAAAAACACGATGCCTGCCAGTCGACCATCTTTGATCCAATTGCGAAATAAATCGCCATGGACATGTATCCTAACATGTATAATCTGTGTACCAAGTTTGAATGAAAACTGACAAAGCATGTCCAAAATACAACATTTTCAAGGTACTCGGCACATGCAAAGAATGAACGGAATCGGTCCACAGGATTCTGAAATATGACTCTCGACAGACTGACGCACGTACGGACAAACACACGGACAGATGGACAGACTCAGGAACTCACGGACGGTCGAGGACATGTATCCTAACATGTATGATCTATGTACTAAATTTGAATGAAAACTGACAAAGCATGTCCAAAATACGACATTTTCAAAATACAAGATGGCTGCCAGTCGGCCATATTTGATCCAATTGTGAAAATAAATCGTCATGGACATGTATCCTAACATGTATAATCCATGTACCAAGTTTGAATGAAAACTGACAAAGCATGTCCAAAATACATTTTCAAAAAACAAGATGGCTGCCAGTCGGCCATTTTGAATCGAATCGCTAAACCACTGCATGTACATATGTCCCATATAAAGTACTAGCCACATGCAAAGAATGAACGGAATCGGTCCAAGGGATTCTGAGATATGACTCCGGACGGACGCACGAACGGAGACCGAATTATAAGTCCCTGTTTTCGGACTTCGTCCGAACGGGGACTAACAAGTCATTGTTAATGACACACAGTCCCCGTTGCAATTAGGAGAAATGTTAGTCATGCCTAAGATAAAGTAATATGGCCAAAATGCAAGATATTGTCTTTTATCAACAAAAAACAGTAATATTAAAAGAATTCTAATTGCTAATTGTCATATTCATGCAAAACTCAAGTAAAGTGCATGTCTCCAGTATCATAAGCTTGTGCAAGCTTATTTGTTGCCCAATGACACTAAATTTAATGGGAACAAAGCATTAGTCAAACTTGAACATGGACAATTCAACAGTGAGTTATAAAAAAAGAAATTAAAATTCAAAATCTGCAGTTCATGCTTTTCACACAAAACGCAAGATCTTGCGGTAAATGGAAAATCTTTCTTTAGATAAGCAGCAACCATTAGCTGATATGGCTGTTTGCGATTCTCTAAAGGTGAACCAAATAAAACAAGTCGGATAATAATCTTGTGCTTATTGGGAAAATAAATGTACCAGTTTGGCTACAACTGAGCAAAAAATACAAAATTTTGTATTTTGTATGTCTGTCAGCCATCTTAGATAGAATCACTAAACCAGGCACTAAACTAGGCACATATAAAGAATGAATGGATTCGGTCTCAGTCTGTGAAAAATGAATCTGGACAGATGGACGGCCGAACAGAGACCGAATTATAAGAGAGCTGCAAATTGTTCATCCATCACATTTACTCCTTGGTCACATTGCATTATGGGTAACTAAATACCTGCAAATTGTTCATCTATCACATTAACTCCTTGGTATCATTGCATTATGGGTAACCAAATAATTCACTCAATCACATTTATTACCTGCACCAGCATGAAGCAGGTCAAAGATCATGGACACAGTATGTGTTCATGTATGTTGAGTATTGGGGTAATAGTTAGGAACTTCAAACTTTGAACACATGTTTCCTATGGATCGAACACCATGATATAGCAAATTTATGTTAAAGGTCACAGTATATATGCATATGTATGTTCACAATGCATGTATGTTTGTGCAAAATAATTAATCATAATTACCATAACAGTCAGTCAGATAAAGGGGATTTGTTTTGTCTTGTAAATATTGCCTGAAAACACACATTTAATCACTGTTTTGTGATATATACTCTACTCGTTAAGAATAATGATCTTACTATTTTCAAGTCTTTCCTTGTGTTTCTTGTCAAATCTATATGATGCTTGTTAATTGCCTTAATGGCACATATATTGCCCTGGAAACAAACACACAGTACGCACATGTAGTATTACATTACGCAAGCTAAAAATACGGTTTGAAAACATTATGTGAAAGCAAAAGGTATGTATATCACCAAAAAACACAAACCATATAAACCAAAGACTAATCCCATCATACAAATATACATACTCAGTGATGTAAAACTCAGCTGGTAACAAAACAAACACCTATTTTTATATAATATATATGTTTGCGTTTTGTTTCATAGCAGTAAAAAAGGAAAAAACATAATTTATATACATGTTGATACCTTTCGCCAAATATGTTAATTCTATTTTAAATGTAGTTAATAGTTCTATTTAGTGGCCAGACTGCCATATTGTACTATTTCCTCTTATCTAAAAACAAGAATACATTACTACATGTATATATCACCAATTTATATACCATATGGGTTGGGAAATAAAAAGCAATTCTGTGACACATGAGTGATGAGGAGGAGTCGCAAACAGTGTTTATTTATTTAATTATGCTTCTAGTTTGTTTTGTGTTCTTGGACTTCCCTTTAGTATGTGAATTTTGTAGGGTACATATTATTTCCACTCTACTTTACTATACATTAGTAGTTTATAAAATTAGGAGTTGTAATTACATAGTTTGTCTTAACTGTTTTGGGAAACATAAAAAAGAACATATTACTAGACTGATGGGTATAGGCTGTCTCACTGTGACGTCATTTTAGATTTTTGCCAACCACACATTTGTGCATATTTAATAACTGTAGCAGCAAAAAACTGCACTATTTTATTTGCAGATGCATGCACACAAACCATAGACAAGTGCAACTATACAGTACAGTTCTCGCGGAAGCTTTAGCTTCACTTCAGCTTCACCTTCGCTTCAGCATCGCATCATTATGGCATTGTTATGACTTCAGCATCACATCAATGTCGCGACATTAAAAAGTTAGGCGGTTATCGCTTCGCTTCATTGTGGCCTCATTATGGCGACAATGTGGCATCAGCATTGCTTCATCAAACAAAGAAGTACAGAACTCATTTCGCCCAACCTCTCGCCCGCTTCCGCTTTTCAATCGCTCGCTTTTGCGACCGCTTGTTGAATTTCCGCTTTATTTTCGACTGTGCAAAAATTCGGACTACTAACAATTTTCTGGTTTTCATAGATCACGGTTACTAGTGTAGTAACCGTGCATAGACGTTGAACAACCGTCAAAAGTTCAAATACTTTTTGTTTTAACTACTAGTATCTATAATTATGCACGCAATCTGACCCTTTGACCTAGATTTGGCTGGGATTGACTGTTTTATTTAAAAAAATATTCTGACGTGACGCACTGCTACAAAATGTATTTCAACAGAAGTACGATATGGTTGTCTGGGTTTCTTTTCCTGACTGTGTTGAGTTTACGATTTGCATAATTATTGTTATTTCCCCCAAGAAGAACACAAGCCGAAGGACCATGAAGCTAAATAGAAGTCCCACGCATGGACTGAGTGAAAGAAAATATTTCTAAATAAAACCTAATAAAATAAAACCTAATATCTCTGTGTATTTGTCAATTTTGCATATATTTGGTGTGACAGTATGTTCGTAAATATCTGGAAAAATCTCGTCTTTCGTTAATAATTTCATTTGTTTGAAATGTCTACCGACTGTGTCCCAATAATTTGTTTGGAATATCGATGCCCGTTGGTTTCTACAAACATTCCCGACGTCCATTATTCAACACAATCAGCATTTATTTATCGTAATTCATGGGGATCATGTCCCGTAATTTGCGGGCTGTAAAACCAAATAATTAAACAAGTATTATTTATTATATATATTTTTTTACCTCGTGAAACAACAACACAGCGTAGAGTTGTTGCGGTGAAACAGTCGCCTTGAAACCGATGGAACTTCAATTATCCATTTCTCGCCTTGAAATAAAATTAAAAAAATTCGAAGAGCATCTGGGGATATATTATAACCAGTCTTATG